TTTATGAATTTTAATAAAGTTTATAAGTTTATACTTATTAGGCCTATGTTTAATGAAGTTATATCTAATAAGGTAACACTTATTAAACCTGCACCTAATAAAACTGTATCTTAAGAAGTTGTACTTGAAGAAACTGTATCTAAAGAAATTGTACCTGAAGAAGCTACATCTGAAGAAATTGCAACTAATGAATTTGCCTATCAATCCATATCTGATCAACCCACACTTGAAAAGTATGATAATAGTGAAGAATAACAGCAAAAACTTGTCAACATAGTTATAAATCATACTCAAACCTGTAGTGAGGTTTAATTTTTATTATATGTACTTGAGGAACGGGAAGGTTATTGTAAATTTACCTTGCCTCTTGCTACGTATAGTAGTTGGATAAAAAAGAAGGAATCTTCTACGAACATTAATTTTATAAAACCTCGTGAAACTTATAAAAATAAAATAGTACTTGGTCTGAGTATTATACTTGTTCACATGCTGGAACAAAGCAAATATGTACTGATTGTATAGAGAGTGGTGTTTCTCAAAAAAGATGACGTATTCAGAAAAAATCAAAAAAAGTCAGATATAAATGTATATTGTGAATCAATTACCAGCCAGCTATTTGTTCTGAAGTTATTGTAGCTTAATATTGGCATAAATATAATAGTTATATACTAGGTAGTTGTGCTGATATTTAGTATTTAAGAAAATCTTAAGAAGTAATTGATCAAATAAAGCAATTTGCCTATCAAGGATTATCTCTTTCATCAATTCATTAATTAATGAAAGCTTCTAAGGAAACGATTGAAAAGTATGTATATATTTATTTATTGTTTGCATAATTTTGGATCATACTATATAACTAAATATTTTTTTATAGGTATTTAACTTCGAATAATATTGTACCAAGAAGAGACCAATTGCTAACCTATGAAGATATTTATAATATAGTTTATAAGTAAAGTATTGTTATAATGATTTAGATGTTATAAGTGGCAATGGGTTAAGGTATTAAAAAAAAATTGGGAGAATTTAGATAATTTGAATAATCCTATTCTTTCATGCTATCGAATATGAAATAATAGTTAAAAGTTTTTGCTTGGGTTTCATATACCTTGGCAGTTCAAGTTATATCGAAAATATTATGAGGTATTTTATTAAATTAAATAAAATTATTGATGTATTAATTTATTGTAATTATATTTAATTTAAATAAAAAATTTTTAAAAAAATTTTTATTAGCTGATTTATATAGATTTGACTCATAATACAAATTATTACAAATATGTGCTTTTTACAATTTTAATTTGTCATCCTAATAGTGGTCATGGTATACCATTGGCATAGTTAATTACAGAATCAAGTAATAGTGAAGTGATTGAAATATGGTTGAATACGTTGAAAAAAGATGGTTGGATGGATCTGAAAAATATTATATTAGATAATGATGATGCTGAAATTAATACAATTCATAATACTCTCATATCATCAAATATTTTTTTATACTGGTAGCATGTTAAACATGCATAGAGGCGATAGATTTATAAAAAGATTAAAGCAAGCAAATGTGATAATTTGTTTCATGATTTAGAATATATATTAAAGATCAAAAATGAAAATAATATAGAGCTTGCAATTAATTAGTTTGAACAAAAATAGAAATATATACCAGTAGTACAATATTTTAATGTGCAATATCGACAAAAAAAAGATACAAATTAAAGTTATTAAATTTTAATTAATTACAGAGCTTTGGATTGATTATTATCGATATAATAAAGTGCATAGAATTAATACCAATAATTATATAGAATCTTATCATAAAAAAATAAAGTATCTTTACTTTATAGTACATTTTAATAGATATATTGATTTTCTTGTTCACGAATTAGCAGTAAAAATATTATATGATTATTGCCAAGAAACTGTTTAATATGAATTAGGTGTTGAACAAATGGGTTCATATTAAAAAAACTACCAAAAATTTAAAATTAATTTAATTAGTATTGATGATACCTTAATTTTTTAATTAGGAGAGTCTACATATATTGTCAAATCAGCTCAAAGTGAAGGTGATTACCTAGTTGAATATACCAATGATAATGTCTTTAATTTGGTTTGCAATTGTGAAGCTTATATAAGAAGCTATACACTATACAAGCATATGTTCGCTGTTTCAAGAAAATATAAAATCCAAATACCCGAACACACTACCTATTTATCTTTAAATAAATGTAATAATAATAGCATTGAAGTTGCTAATGATATTGACACTGATGATATTACTAATATCTAAAGAGAAAAAGAAAAGTCTGATGAGTTGAATGGTAATATTGATCAATGGGTTAAACGATTAATAATGCTTCATTAGAAAATTGATTTAAATAAAGTTGTATTGAATGAAAAAGAAAATGTAATTTGCAGGCTTGAGAAATTATGTAATATTTTCTTATATGCACAGCAAAATTTTTCACTACACATGTAATTTAATTGTGCAAATGATAAATAATACTTCAGTGAAGAAATTGATTTAAATAAAGTTGCATTAAACAAAAAGAAAATGTAATTTGCAGGCTTGAATAATTATATAATATTTTTCTTACATGCATAGCATTTAATTTAATTGTGCAAAATAAAAAAATTTTTTACAGTATAAAAATTATAGTATTATCAAATATAATTATAAAAATGCTTGATATTAATTTAAAATTAACCAATCAGAATTTTGAATCCTGGTCAAGGAATCAGACTGAGAACCCAGAACTGGAGGCCGAAAGGCCAATTTTCACTTGATATAAAGGTATGCCATTAAAATCAAAAAATCTTCTCTACAATATTAATTAGAAGCCCAAGAAAAGTTATCTTATAAAAAACTTCTTTAAAGTTTAAAAAATTAGTTTTTAATATAAAAATAAATAATTAGTATGATCTACAGTTACACAATTGAATTAATAATTTATACAGGGTAGTCTAAACGTTACCTTGCAGCTAAATATTATACAGGAATTTTTTTATAATATAGTATAGATATAATAATACAAACCTATTTTTATCTTAGTATCTAGTAATTAGATTTTATAATTTTAGATTTGTTAGAATTCTCTCATTAAGAGGATTCTAACAAATCTAATATTATAAAAATCTAATTATTAGATGCTAAGATAGAAATAGTTTTGTATTTTTTTTTTTTTTGCTTCACTTAGGCTGATCACGCCAGTACCTTTATTTAATCAAGCACCACTTGTGGAAGTGCATAATCATTAAAACTATAGGTCTGACATCCTGCG